TGCTCCGGGGGTGAGTCGGCCGCGCAGCTTGCGGGGCGGGAGGGGAGAGCCAGGGTCAGGCCGCCGTGCGGGGCAGCGGGGCGCGCCGAGAGGGAGTTTGGCCTTAAAATGAGAGAGCCCCTGAAAGAGTTCTAAGAAGCGAAGAGGATCTGGCGCGGTGGGCAGGCTGCGGTGCCTTCTTAGGTCTCCCCGACGTTCGGGCGGAGTTGAAAAGTTGCTCCGGGACGGGAGGAGGCTCCCCTCCTGCAGGTGCCAAACAGCCGGAGAAGCGGCGATCGGTGTGGCAGCAGCGGTGAGTTGGCGCTGTGCTCGGACACCTCTCAGCCCCCTTCGTCTCTGCCTCTGCCAAATGGGAACTAACAGCGCAACTCCACGTAGTTACTGAGACAGCGAATGAGAGACCTGGGAAAGCCCACTGCCACGTCGGTAGCTGTCAACTCACCGTGTAGAAATTGTGGGCCTTGCCAGCCTTCCCAGTTTGGGATCAGGCATTATTCCTGAGAGAGGGTTCCCGGAGAGTTGAGAAGTGGGCAGGTCTGAAGCATGTTCCTAGGTCTCCTGAATCATTTTTCCTTTTTTCTTTTTTAAAGATTTCCTTTAGAACTTCTCTGATAAATCTCCCGGCTACCTCCGTGTTTTCTACGACTTAGAGGATGAACCTTTCCACTATTTTTTCTCATTAAATCTGCCTCTTTTAATTAAATTTAAATTTTAATATGTTTGCCTTAAAAAAGAAGAATGGGATACACTTTTCTGTACCAGGTTTTGATTGCTCTTGTGTTTGTAGAGGTTTTTCGGTTTGTTTTTGTAATGATGCGTTTTATGGGACTTTTAACCTTGCTTTTGGGTTGGTGGTGAACAAGGGCAAGAGTGGACATGCTCTACGAGAAAATAACGAATTTTGTTCAGTTGACCCCTGACATTTTGAAAAATATGAGCAATTGATCAGTTAACTTTTCTTTCTTTTCGCTTAGAATTTGACCTAATATTGAGCTGTCATTTGTTAATTCAATCAGAAATACACTAAATACACTGCAAGTACTGCTGGGGCAAGTGAGTAGGAGAAAGGCACTGAGGAGCTTGAGGGGCAGATAGTGTATTAATTATTTATTGCTCCATAACGAATTACCCCAAAATTTAGAAGTTTAAAACAGCAGGCACTTCTCTCATTTCCTGTGTGTCAGGAATTCAGGTAGGCTTAACTGGGTCCTCAGCTTCAGGGTCATTTAGAAAACTGCAGTCAAGATGAAGTCATCTCAGATGTCAGTTGGGCAGGATTTACCTCCAAGCTCATTCAGTGATTGGTAGGATTCAGTTCATCCAGGATAGTTCGATTGAGGGTATCAGTCCTTGCTGGCTATTGGGCTTCCCCATCATGGTGGCCTACTTCATCAAAGCCAGCAACAGAGTCTGCTGGTAAGATGGAAGTCACAGTCTTTTGTAACTTAAGCAAGAAAATGACATCTTGTTGCTTTAAAATTTTTATTTTTAAAACTACAATGCAGAAAAATATTCCATCACTTTTGATACATTCTATTGTTAGAAACAAGTCACTAGATCCAGCCCACACCCAAGGGAAGGGGACTGCACAACGATGTGAGTACCAGGAGGTATGGATTATTAGGAGGTCATCTTAGAGGTCTGTCCACCATGGATATTAAATAATTCACAATTATTCAATTTCAATTGTGAGAAGGATCTGAGGAAAGAAGTGCTATGATAGTGTATAACCAGTTGTATAAACAGTCCTAGAGTCAAGGAAGGCTTCATTAAATAATGGTTTGACTTACAAGCTTTTGCACAACAAAGGGAAACCATAAATAAAACAAAATGACAGCCTATGGACTGGGAGAAAATATTTGCAAATGATGCGACCAACAAGGGCTTAATTTCCAAAATATATGAACAGCTCATTTAACATAATAACAAAAACCAAACAACTCAATCAAAAAATGGGCCGAAGACCTAATTAGGCTTTTCTCCAAAGAAAACATACAGATGGACAATAGGCACATGAAAAGATGCTCAGTATTGTTTCTTATTAGAGAAATGGAAATCAAAACTACAGTGAGGTATCATCTCACACTGGTCAGAATGGCCATCATCAAAAAGTCTACAAATAACAGAGTGTAGGGTATAGCTCAAGTGGTAGAGCCCGTGCTTAGCATACACAAGGTCCTGGGTTCAATTCCCAGTACCTCCTTTAAAAATAAATAAATAAGTAAACCTAATTACCTCCTCCCTAAATAAATAAAGTTCAATACATTTTTTTTAAAGTCTACAAATAATTAACGCTGGAGACTGTGGAGAAAAGGGAACCGTCCTACACTGTTGGTGGGAATGTAAACTGATGTGGCTACTATAGAAAAATATGGAAGTTCCTTTAAAAATTAAAAGTAGAGTTACCATATGATCCAGCAATCCCATTCCTGTGCATATATCTGGAGAAAACCCTACTTCGAAAAATACATGCACCCCAGTGTTCATAGCACTATTTACAACAGCCAAGACATGGAAGCAACCTAAATGTCCATCAACAGATGAATGGATAA